AAAACAACGAACAACAGTCATCTCAACTGAATCATTTGGAACACTCAACAAATGTTTCTCTCTTTTTTTTTTCTGTTAACCAAATATATTTGGCATACAAAGAGTAATGCAAAGCAGTGTGTTAATTATTAAACTTTTCCTCGTACTCAAACTAACAAAAAGTATAGAACGAGTGAAATTTTACTCTGTGTAAGCAGCTGTACGATTATCAAAGTACATACTTGGCAAGGTTTTAGTTGAATAGCAAAAAAAAAGTGTTTCACAGCTGTAGAATTAAAAAAGAAAATTTATTCATCTGAATGTTTTCTTAGTGACTTTTGTGGACGATGTCTCATAATCATACGATGTAACAAAAATCTGAAGGTAAATAACAAAATTTTGAGTAAAATTAATTTTTTGTTCATCTGTCTTTCTAAAGTATTCATCGTATATTCTCATATTTAAGGCTGTCTTTAATCTGACAGAAAGAACAAACAAATTTCTGCAAAAGAAAATAGGCAACTTTTTATCTTCAAAACTGTTCTTTTTTCTGCTTAAAAAAATAAAAGTATAATGTTAAGTATTGTAGAAAAGAATTTTAGCAACAAAACATACTTAAAAAAAGGTTTTTTTTATCAGATGATAACTGTTAAAGTTTCTGATAAAACTTTAGAAAGTAGTTTGTATTAATTCAACAAATTGATATGAATTTCGCCGAGAAGGATATTGTTATGACTTTGGCAATCTGATACTTGGCTTTAGCACTCAGCTACTTTTACACAGTTATAAAATGCTGTCAGCTACAGTTTTACAGCATTTTCTCAGCAATTTTCTGCCTTCATTTCCTGCAAATAAAAAAACTATTAGTACCGAAAAAAATTTTTGTTTTGTTCATATCTGAAGAGAGAAAGTCTTTTCAAAGTATCCATCATATATACGACTCTCGTTTTTTTTTTTTTTTTTTAAGTTTTTCTCTTATTTCGACAATTTTTTCTAAAGTTGTCGTAAAAATCATCGCTGATATGTTCGTTTCTTCTGTTCTGTCGGGTTTTTTCATCTTCGATACTATAACATTAAAAAAAAACATGTGCTAATTTAATGCTCCAGACTTTTGCCATGTTTTTTTTTTTTCAGTTTTTAAAAATATATAGCTCCAGTCAGCATTGCTGCTACTTTCAAATTTGTCAGTCATTCAGCATAATAGTTTTTAGCTTGTTCTGATATTGCTAAAATAGTGGTGTATCTGAAAAGAAAAATGAAGTTTATTTTTTCTGGTTAATTCGTCTTTATTAATGATTATAAGCTGATAGTCGCTATTTTATGAATACTTCTATTTGGTTATGGTCAGTAATAAACTGACATATTTTCTGTGCTACCTTAGGTGTCTTTTTTTCGTTTATGTTATCAAATTGTAAACAGCTTATTAAGTATAACCGACCTTATGGTACATAGATTTTGAATTGGAATATCCAATAAATGTATTGCTGTTAAACTGTTTTTAACTGTTGAAATGTTTTAAATATTTATGATTTTTTCCTCATTTTTAGGTTGCTATTATTAACAAAGACCAACAATGTATTTTAATCTTCGTTCGCTTGCCATTTTATTGCCATTTATCTTGGTGCTAATTAAGTCGCTTAGTGGATCTACCATTTATGGCAGGCGTAAGATAGGTGTTCGTTTCAGAAATTTTATTCTTAAGTTGAACTTATAAACTTATCAGCTTTTAGCAGATACCTTTGTTAGGAATGGTAATTGAGGAATATTCAAAATCTGAAAAAAATTAAAATCTTCAACTTTTTCATAATATTTTCTTGTCGAAAAAAAATTTTTTTGTTTTTTAAAAAAATATTTATTTTGTTCAGTTTTCTAATCTGAGTTTTTTTAATTTTAGGTAGGTAACTGCGAAACAGACTGGAATTATTTTCTGTTCCACTGTTACAAGGTTAGCCATTGTTGACAAAGTATATTCAATGTGTTCAATTAATTTTGAATTGTAACAGATAGCAGATCCAATCTGAAAAATTCGATTACAAAAATAAGGCAAAAAGCAATGTTATTGTCAAAAGTCTGGTATAAAATTAATTGACAAGAGATGTCAAAAGCCAGAAAAAAGCATTTTTATTCAGTCGAACATTCTCAGCTAAACTCTGCTCTGTTAAACAATAAACGATTGAATAGATAATACGAGTACCCCTCTGCAGAAACTATGATATGTAATTCCCACAAAAAAAAAAATATGATCCTAAATTCTGCTTAAAAAAATTTTTGAGTTCTACGTTACTGACAGAGTAAACTGCACATTTGTTTGTGATTATTTAAAAGAATTTTACTTTGTTCTTTTTTACTCTAAAAAACAGTAAAAATGAAAGTTGAAAATAACAAATAGACTTTTATCACTTATGAAGAAAGGAGGGATTTGCTGAGAAGAATAAATTAGTAAAGGTGCTTGAGTTTACCATTTTTAACACTTATTTCAAAACGACTAATATTTTCAGTTTGTATGGACTGATAAGCCAGTAACGATGAATGAAGCACAAGAAACTTGTTTACAAGAAAGAGCTAATTTAGCATCTATTTGTTCAAACAAAGAAAACAATTTTGTTCGAGGTATACTTTTTTGATAGCTGTTTTTTTCCTTAAGAAACAGTAAAATTGCATACGTTATAAATAAAATGCCAATTGGCAGTTCTGAGCACACAAGTTCAAAAGCAATAGTTTTTAGTTCATATGGGACCACCAGATGGTTATCCGGCTAGTGATGCATGGATTGGCCTAACAACCTATGGTGACCGGCGACGTTATTTCATCGACGGTAATGCCTGTCCATTCCGGAAATGGTATCCTGGAATTGATCCAGAGAATAGACCAAAATCTGCACATCGAAATAAGAATTGTACACTGATTGATTCGGAAGGTGAATGGGATGTGGAAGATTGTAATTTGAACGATACAGTTAGGGCTTTTGTATGCAAGAAAAGAGCTGGATTCCGCAAATGGCAACCACCAAAAAGGTTGCATTTATAGTGTTGTTGATCTGCTTCAAACAATGTCAACCATTTAAGATGATCCAAATGTAAAGGTCTCAAGGAAACTTTTCTTTTTCTATTCTATTTAAATTATAACAACTATAGATTTGTTTAGTCAAAACTTGAAAAAATAAATCAACTTTTGACTTTAATGGTTATGATTTGTGGAGAAGAAAACTTTTTTTATCTTTCCTGTTTGAAAATAAATTTAGCAGAAGCTATAAAGTAATCTATAAATCGATAAAGAAAAAACAGTTAATTATAAATATAAAAAAGAAAAATACGAAAGACAAATCTTAGTAACTAAAAACTTTTGACTGTTTTATAAAATAGTTTAGTTAAAAGTTGGAAAAAAAAAAGGAGGGAATGCAGTTTAGTTGTTTTCTTTACAAAAACAAAATTTTCATTATTATTTGCGTAACGATTAATAAAACTTAAGAAGTTAATTATTGCTACAATTTCAGCATTACTATAGAATAATTTAGAGCAATGAAATAATTTACTTCCACCAATATATTTGATTATAGTTTGCCATATATGACAAAAAAAAAAGCCGATATTAATTGGAAAATTGAATCTGCTAACAGAAGAAAATAGAAGGTTTCATTCATATCTAAAAATTTCTTAAAGTTTTTCTATTCATTTAAAGTTACAAATAAAAAAATCTAAATTTTTTGTTAGCTTTTAAGAAATTTTTCTTTGACTCGCCTACCCATTTATAAATAACTTATATTATACACAGTAATTGTGCAAATAAATTGGAAACACCTATATCTTCGCTAAAACAAAAAAAAAAATAGCATATTCCTTATTGCAAAATTTTATTAACATATAAGAAAAGTGTAAATTTAACCTTAGTATACTCAATACTGTTATTTTGCAAAATAATATTATTGTTAACATATATTAAATGGTTAAATAAACCTGCTGAAAATCTGTATGTTGGTAGATTTGCAAAAAAAAAAAAAAAAAAGTTATCAACTAATGAATGCAGTTAAGAAATAGCCGATTGAAAAGTTTTATTTATTTTCTTTAACAATTAACAACATTTATTAAGTGTTATAAAAAATATTTATCAGAATAGCCAATTTAATCAAACAAATAATATACTGAAGAAATATATATCAACAATCATAGAGCAATTCTACCACAATAATGTTTAAAATCAGTGAAATTTTTTTAAATACAGCAAAAAGAAAATAAAAAGATTAAGATTAAAATAAAGAAGACGACAAAAAAAAGTTGTACAACCAACAAGATAATCAGTTAGAAAAGTTTTAAGTCTGCTTTTTTCTCCTTTAATTTGCTCTAGTTTTCACTCAAAAATACTCTATTGTTTCAACAGAACAGCAAAGTTGAAACATAAACAAAACTGTCAAAGTTTGATGTCTTAAACACTTAACTCTTAGAATCAAAACTGAAAACTAGTGAGCAGTTACAGCATCTATTTGCAAGCTGCAACTTGAAAACACTGATACCTATGCTGATACTCTTAACTACCTTCTTCTCTTTTTCCTGCTTTATCCGCCTTTATTAAAAAGTACTCTCCTCAGTTATCAACCCTCTTTGGCTAGAATCTAAGCTTATTTTTCTTTCTTCAATCGGTATATCTTGAATGCCATTTTCTAAGGCCAAATATATATTTTGTGTACATCTTAAAACTAATCTAATTTTATAATTCCAAATTTCGAATGCAGCAGCATAGAAGAGTATTGCAAATATAAATATGCCAATTGTCAATCCAAAAATGTCTGAAAAAAAAAAAGGGAAAGTAAAGAATAAAAAAGAGAAAAGAAATTAGTAAATAATTGTGTAATATTTTTGTTATACCAAACAAAACATTTACTAACTTTAATCTATTTACCACTCTAACAGTGGCATATAAATCTTGGTCTTCAAAAAAGTCAATAAGGTATCAATAAGCAGTATTAATCGGTTCTTTTCTTTCAGTTGATTTTATCTGTCCATTATTAATTCAAAGATTAATTTGTACATAAACTATTATTATTCAGACTCTCTATTTATATACTCTGTTTACAATTAAACTTTATTCAAATTTTTCATTTTTTAACAGCTTTTCTGGCTAAAAAAATAAGACAAGTCTAAATTTTTAGACGAAGCAATTCTGTAATGACAACTCAAAACTAAAATCTCTTGCAAGTACAGTAAATTAAAAAAAAAAAACCAATAAAGTTTTCACTTTTTGTGCTTGTTATTTTGAAGACATTATTTTATCGTTTTCTACTTTTCCTTCTCATCATCAATATCTTTTTTCTGACTAATTTCCAGTTTAAAAAAAAAAAAAAAAAAAA